GACCTAGTTAACACCTCTGATATTCTTCTCCCTACAAATATTATACAAAATGTGATTATTAAATTCTGATAATATCACAGAAAACTCCTACATCAAGGCGTTATCTGACACTAAATGTGGGATTTCAGAGAATCCTTTGATTTCCAAAGTAAGCTGTTTGTTGCTAGTCATGTTCACAATACCTGCATTATCAGCCCAGTGATTTACCACAATACTTGAGTTTTTCAGATGGAAGAAACTGTGTGTATAGCTCATCAACTAAGCATATATTTTACATATAAAGATTATTTCTGGTTTTGTTACTGTACTATCTATGAGCCCTTACCAAGGACTTGGATAACACATAGCTTAACACAATGGTAAGTAGTAGAGAACACAAAAAGTCTGTTCGTGCTCACGAGATCACTCCGTCTCAACTTCATACTGACAATGATACATGGATTCAAAACAGACCAGGGAGACTATTGGGAAGCAATGAAGAACCATTGGCCTCTGGAAAGGATGGCAGTCAGAACATGTGAGTGGGTAACCAGTTGTCAGATTTTTCTGGCATGAATGCAAAAAAAAAGGTTTTGAAGAATCAATCCTGGCATCTTTATATGATTTTTTTTCTAGTGCTGAGGTGATAAAGTACAAAATAGGGATGGAGGTATCTGTCTGAAAAATGTGCCAACTGGTGTCATGAAGGCTGGCATCATGGGCCAGTCAAGCAGTAGTGAACCTATATCTACTGCTAGCAATGGTGACAGCAGTGCAGCTGTCGAGAGTCTTGCACACGATGGCGAGCACTTATAGGTCCCATGGGAGAACCAGTGAGAAGATGGTCAGTAGTGGCATGGCATCCTCAATAGATATAGCTGGAAAAGTCTAGCCTTGCCTAGCTTAGGGAAAAGAATGTTTCATTATTTCAGATGCAGAGATGCTGAGAAAATAAAAGCCCATAATTTAAATTTTAGAGAAAAAAAAAAAAAAGATCTATATAACTAAAGAACAATCTGCATGCGAAGACATAGGAACAAAGTTATGTGGAAAAGTACACCCAAATCAGAGCCCAGAGAATTAACCTAAAATCCATCCAGTTCTGAGCTGCGTGTAAAACCAAAGGGATAAGATGCAAGCAGGAAAAGTTAAAACATCTTTAGGCTTGAGCCTACAACCTGTCTCATGAAGGTACAGTCCTGCCTCATCTGTGCCAGAACCCACAAGGTCAACATGGATCCACATACATGCAGGAGTTGACAGGTACAGCCAGGTAACAGAGCAGGGAAAGGAGGCCTTTCCCTCATACTTAGTGACACGTCATTATAATCTTGGAAAAGTTTAAGCAAGTCAACTTCCCTATTTTTAATAAAACAACTGCACAAAGGTGAAAAAAACATATTATTTTAGTATTTAACTCAAAAAGCATTGAGAAACCCGTTCATGATCCTGATCGGCGCTTTCATCACATGACTTTATGGGCTCTGAATGCTGCTGGTGATTAATCAACAGTGACCTCAAGCTCATACAAGGGTCAACAGGGAGGGAATTTGGGAAATTGCCCTGGTGCAAGTAAATGAAAAAAAATGCAGCAGGTAAGGTCTATGAAAATTGTCACAAGCTTTTCATTAGCTCATGTTCCCTACTAAACTATCATGGCATAACGTACAAGAAATCAGTTTTTATAACCGAGTCAATGAGTGCTTTTTCAATGGCAAATGAACATGTTCTTAGGGTGTTTCTTAACAGTCTAGAAAATTGCCTGGAAAATAAATATTGTGTATGTGTACCAATTCCATCTTATAACTCCTAGCACTGGTCCCATGACTTTAGTATTCTAACAACATTAAAGCCCTCTGGATTATAGAATTATAATCATGAAAAAAATTATGCCTGTCTGGAAGACCCCAGTTAGGATGTAATTACAATGTGAAATCATAACAGCAAAATAATTGAAATGCATGGCTGCGAGGACCTAGTTATGATCATATAATAATACTTTCATTATACATTTACTGCCAGGATGAATATTTTGTATCACTGGAATTAAGGTTATGCTGTCTGCAAAGACTGTATACCTACACTGGTTATAAGCAATATGTACATCAGTGTACTGATGAATTGCAGCCTACGATATGTTTCTATTAGCAATGGGCAAGTAATATCATTTTTGTGAAATTATTGATAAAACACCACGTGTTGCAATGCCTTCAATACACACGTGGAAAGAAACTGGTTATCTCTGTTCTTTGCTGCTTCTGTATGTTAATCTTTTAGCATAGAATTGTTTGATTGTTACTACCACAACACAGAGGCTAGTGTTATAGTATTACAAAACAAAGACACAGGGATATACATTACAACTTCTATATTTGAGGCATGAGAATACATTGCCTGCACACCTAAGCCTTCCAGAATTGTCTCCTTCATTTTGTCAGCAATCATTTATATATATACACACACACATATATGTCTATCTACGAGCTATTTAACAGCTTCTTTACTGAATTTTAGTTAAACATTGACATAGTCATTCCAATATATCTCAAGATGTCTCAAGCTTCATAAGAAATCTAGTGACAGGGAAATTCTGAACCTTGATATGGGTCAGAGAGGTGTCTGCAAATCTTCATGGCCACCTGCTACTGTGGGACAATACTTCCCACTTGCAATTCCAGACACCTCCATAATGCTCACTGCAACTGTTTAAATGAAATGCTATTTTTAGAAAATACAATGTATTTTACCTCAAATTTCAATTCTATATAGCAGGTGTAACAAACAAAAAGCACTACAGCCACGTTCTCCACAGCCATAACTTGACAATCAGAGAGGCCAGGGGTACTAAAGTGTTCAGAATGTCTTAATTATGAAAAGATCCACTTCCCAGCCTAACATTTAATGTAAGTGAAAGGAACTGGATTTGTAGATCAGTTAGCTATAGAATGTGTATGCATCATGAAGCTCCCTCTTAATGTTGAATAACCTTGTTCTTTTCCCCAGCCCCAGAAGAATTAATTGCAGACAGATTTGGTGGCTACCCATATATTGCTATCATACTGGAGAACAAAGACAACTTCAATCATTCAATTTGTTGGGAGGGTGCCCGTGGTAAAACAGTGTTATCAGTAATTAAAAAATGGGGTTGAGATCCACCATGTTTGTTCCAGCAATAGAGAGAATTTATAAAAATGGATTAGTAGAGTTTAAAGGTGTTCTCAACTGCCAAGTAATGGGTAACAAAATCACATTAAAAGCAAGTTAAGTGTACACTGCTTTTATAAAGTGTATTCTGTGTTATTATCTGCACTAACACAGTAACATTCATCTAGAGATACCTTCTTGGGTTGCTTTGTTTTTTCTTCTTTCTTTCTACTCTTTGAATTACTTATAGAGCTCCAAAATGGCTATAAATAGACATGTTTATACACCTTCTTTCTGCAAGAAGTAGATCTGAAAACTCACAAGTCCAAGCATGACAAATACAATGTTTGTAAACTTGTGTAAACAAGCAGTACCAAGCAGATTATCTACATGCAGCCGCTTTAACCACAAAAACTTAGATAATTTAATTTCTTTTATCAGAAGTTTAATCACTACATTATACAAATAGGCAGAGTAGTTCATTTTTAAAAACAAATTATCAAATGGCAAGGAATGCCTCAAAGGACTCAACCACCTGAGAACTCACCGCTTGTTTCCTGTCATGATCCTCTGACACAGAGGGAGGCTTAGAGATATAAACGAGGGTGACTACAGTCTGCTTTATTGAAACCTATAGAGCCAAACTGCTAGTACTGATATGTCAGGAATCCAACCTGTCATGGGCTTAATGGTCTACTGAGAAAGCTTCTGTATTCTTTAAATAGCACAGATAGGCTTATGCTATTTAAAATTTTGAATCTAATTTTGATGCAGTTGGTATCTTAGGGTCCTTCTAATTGATGGTAAGCAAAGGAATAAAATCAGGAAAATGAGCTAAGTTAAAATGAGACTGTTGCAACAGAACCATGCGCTGTAAAGAAGCAGGGAACAGTACATCTGATAGAAGATGAAGGTTCCTAAATGTTTTGTAAGAAGACCTCCTTTTCTGCAATAGCTTGGGTTCTTCAGGCCTGAGCTGCATATCTACACACATATATTCAATTTTCGGCCACGTCCCAAGCCCCCATGCTCCTACGTCCCCTCTACCTCAGGGAAGCATTTCTCCATCCCTTCTCCACAGCTCTGCCCTATAAAAGCCTTACTTTATCCGCTGTGCCCAGACATGCCCAGGGAGGGCAAGCACAGACCTGCTCGTAGGGCTGCTGCTCTCACCGAGTCCCGCAAGGCTGGCTCAAGGCTGCCTACCTGCTGCACCGTGGGAGGGAAGAGGCAACAGGATGAGTCACAGCCCATCCCCATCAACGGAACAGGCACAAAAAAGCATAAGCCAGGCTCATCTTCAGCTATTTGTCCTGCTGACTTCTGCCCACCCCGACTCAAAGTAAACATTATTCTTTTTGGATGGCTAGAGAACCATCATTGGGATAGGAGGAATAAAAGAAAAAAGGAGGGAAAAGGCTAGACAGCATTTTCCCTGCATTTCCTGCATTTCCCAGATGGCATTCCACCTTGCCCTTGGGAAGGCTCCCACACAGTATGACAGTGTTGCTGGACCGTTGTATCATCTATTCTTTATTATGCTTGCATAAATCCTGTATAATTTATTTTTTAAATTAGTTCATCTGGAGGTCTACTCTTGTATATGAGAACAAAATTCACCCCTCCCCTCTTGTTACCATGCAGTCTTCCACTTTAGTGATTTATTTATACTTACTGACTAAAAAGAAAACAATTATCTAAAAAAAAAAATAATCTTCATTACATCCATATTAGCTGTTAATGCACTTTGTGGATTGCTTATTTATATTCAATACAAGCATATTCTTACAAAAGCATTGGTGTTGACAGATACGTATTTATGCAAACTGTAAGCAACACTTGTAATAGCACAAAGATAGAGCAAAGACTTTACTCACCAAGCCATCCTGATCCGGAATTAGGTATACACATATCTGTTTCAGCACTGGGCAAAACAAATCCAACTACAAAAACTTCAACCCCATCAGCCATTAGGGCCATTCCCAAAACAAAGAAGAGGGCCCACTGGAAACGACCATGGCCACATTCTTGTATTATCAGTTCATACTGCTGTGCTAGCTCTTCTTCATCAGCTTTCCTCTCTGTTTCAAGTTCATGACGATCCTTATATTCATCACGCATAGGCTGACCTAAGGCCACCATGCCATCCTTGCCCTGCCCCATGTTGGGGATTCCCTGATACTCTCCTTCATAAATTTCATCATCTTCATCATGCCCTTCAGTCGCTTCACTTGAGCCTTCATCATCGTTAGCTTCGACACCATAATTTCCTCCTTGGACATAATAATCATCGTCATCTTCCTCATCCTGGAACCGGTTGTAGGATCTCTGCGTATAGCCATCCTGAGCTTTGTCAACAGCTTTATTAACTTTTTTCACTGCTTGCCTCTTCACCTCTTTGGCAATATCTTTTGCCCCTTTCATTAATGAAGTCCTATCTTTGTATGTTTCCTCCATCTTGTATCAAAGAAAGATTGCTGTTATACTGCAGAGGGATCTGCTGAATACTGTTTAGAATATCTATTGTGTGTTGGACATCAGTAGAAAAAGTCCAAGTACATATGAAGCTGTAATATTCAACCTGCAAAATATGAGAGAAAAAAAGTTTGTACGTTGCTCCTTAGTTGCTTCTTCACACTGATATGGTAACATATTAATCCTTCATTTAAGCACTAGACACCACAGTTCAGGGCTTCAAATATACAAACCTGGATTTTCTTCAGAGATGGAAATATCCCAGATTACAAGGAAAATACTCTGAAGAGAAATCTAATCTCTACTGGTTTTCAGAATGAAATTTGTTACACTCTAGTCTTTCAATGGATAATGGGTTTTATTCTGAAAGAAAACAAACATTTCCAAGCATCATACATCATATTGACTCTGTCTGCGGTGTCCTTCCCTGTTCGAACTTCCTGCTATGTAATAAGAGGCTACAAATATTAGCTTTTCTCTCAGTGGGTTAACATATTGTAGGGAGTTAATATTCCTGAGATCTGTACCAGTCTCTCAAAGCTGACTGAACTTGGCCAATGCAACCACAGTGCATTCACCCTGAGTCTTAGGGGTGAATATGCAGTCCCACCCTAAAAAAAAATCCTTGCAGGAAGCTGGGTGCATGAAAGTGGTGCCACTTACAGACTTTGGAGATTTCTAATACCTAAATCACGGACAGACACATCCCTCTCTCTCCTGTCCACAGTGTCAGTAGAGGCAGCCTCAAGCAACCGTGTATCATCAGCTAATTCATCCCTGAGTCTGTTAGTCTGGCATGAATTTATGCCAATTTAGGTGCATAAAAGCACCAAGACATTTTGTCTCAGTCCCTCTCCCTGCTCCCCTGCTGTACTTTTCCACCTCTTCCTTTATGCAGCCCCAGGATCACAAATGCAGACACAATGAGTCAAGAGCAGCTTGCTTATTTCACCAAAGAACAACCATTTCCTTCTCTTCTGGGCAGTTTTCAGGCATATCAGCAAGGCAATTTGTTTATCAGACACCTACAAGATCACTAGGGGTAGCAGAAAGAAATGGCAGCAGCGTACAAGCAGAGGGAGTGAAGAAATGCGGGATCCTTCTTTGGCAACAGTCCATAGTTAGAACAGCTGAAATCAATTACAAAACCGTACCATTATTCATGTGTCTAAAGTTAAGGGGAAGGGAACCTGGGCACTGCAACAGGATTGCAGGAGCCTCACCTCTGGGAGAAAGCAGGATAACATTTATGTAGCAGTGCTTCCAAGAAAACACCGCCTGCTTCCAGCTTGGGGAAAAGGTTATTTTTAACTATGACCATTTTAATGATCTATTTTCCAGTCTAACCTCAGAAAAATCTGCAGTAGTACAACTAAGGAGGGAGAGAGATGCAATGCAGGAGTAAGAATAAATGACTAGAAATTTCTGACGCAAATCCTATTCCCCTTGCTGAAGTAGTGTGGACGGCGCCCCCGAGCTTCATGGGAGAAGACCAGCGTAGTGCTTTGAGAAGTTGTCCTTTACTCATTCAATTGTAAACACTGTCCCCAGAAGTATATTCCAGACATCAATTTTAAGACTGATACTGTGTTGAGGGATGAGAAGAATTACAGACTGCATTAGATAAACTAAGGATGTGATGTACTTCTCATTAAAGAAAACCAACCCTAAAATCACACAGACAGGCAGGTAATACGACTTAAGAAGCTAAAAGCTATTGCCCTATCTTTCTTTATAACAACTATAGAAATTCAGCTATAGTAGAAAATGTCTTTATTTTAGTCCCTTCCTCTACACTAATTTCATACACTCTGAATGTTTCTCATAGAAATCAGATGTGATAGCGCTACTCAACTATCCAATGCATACTGAAGCATTTACTGGAAGAGAAATGCAGCCTTAAAAAAGCCAGGATGTAATATTTATGACTGAAAACTGTAGCCTGATGTTAGGTACATGACGATCCTTCTAAGTAGGTCATCCTGGTGAATCTTTTATGCTAAGGCAGTTTCTCTAATTACAGCTTTTCAGTTTCCAAGGCGCTCCTTAGGAGTTATTCTTTATGTACTGAATTAGGCGTCTGGTCCTTGCTGTTACCTGTGTGTGACTACAGTATCTGTGAGCTGTTATTGAACATGCAATGCATAAAAACATTCACTGGGTCTGCTGTAGCCTTATACAAATCCTTTCAAGAACTTCATGAACTCCTAACAGGTACTCTTCTGAGGGTTAATGATTACAAAGTGTTCCTATTTTTTACCAGTTTAGATTATTTTAGAATGTGCATGTGCCCTACTTAACCTAAACTCTGAATTCCTCTAATTCTTAGATTACTGTTGTTTTTTTTTACAGAGAGTACAGTTGTCTTTTACGGATTTTCAGTTTTCAAATTCCATTTTACAGTAGGGTATGTCTATGGAGGAAAGACAGCAGGAGTTTAGGAATACTGAATTAATATAACATCTAAATATTTTGGTAAAACTGGCAAAAGCCGTGCTTTGCACTCCTATAGTACACCTACCTTATGAGTTCAGCAGACTCTAAAAAACCAAATTTGCAAAAGCAACTGAGCTTACACTGTAAGACAAATTTCTGACTGGGAAGACAGAAAGATGTACTGAGTTTGAAACCAGAAATTTCTCTTTATCTTGCCAAAGTTTCCAAACAGCACCTTTAATTTGAACACTGTTCTTTTTAAAAGCTCTGCTTTCTCAATGAACTGAAATCCCTGCCTTCAGGGTTGTAAGTACAAGTAGGAATTATTTACAGCCCATGCATGATAGCTCCCCACCCTTTTAATTATGTTGGAATGATTGACTACAAGTAAGTAACTGGAAAGTCTGAAAGGGTGAGGATTAGTGACTACCTGAGTAGCATAAAGCAGCAAAAGCACAGACAAGAGTCTAGCCATGTACTCTTGTTTGTACCGTCTTACCCAACAAGCCTGATCACTTTCACTAAACTAAACACCGTATTCCTATTCAATTCTTTCAATTAAAAAAAAAAAAAAAGAAGAACAGGAAAATGGTGATTTCACCTGAAATAAAAGTAGTATTTCAAGAAATGTCTACAAAATTTTTTTTCCAAAACATTCCAAGATGCATGCACAAAAAAAAATATCAAATTATTTGTTTGCTCTAATGTTTATTCTTTTCCATTCTAACATATTCACAAATTTCAGTATAGTTACCACTTTGTACATGTTGTGCCATATCTGAAATAAAGGTAGGACATTACAAACTAAATCAGTGAGGTCCCATGATGATGTAAATCTATGAGATGTCAGAAAACCCACTCCCACAAAAACTTACATATTTGCTTAAAATAATCCATGGGAAGACTCACTGAAGACTAACAACACGTGATATTAGCTATATGCATAACTTCAGATAATGAATTTTTCAGCATAGACCTGGAAGTCACATTCAAATGGAGCTACAGCATTTTAGATACACTTAGAGACCTACTATAGCATCTTTCCTCCTTTTCTTTTGAATCTTTAAATCCTTTTTAAAGAAAAAGAAAACACTACAAAATATTCCTTATTTAAGTTGATGCGTTTTAAAATGCACATTTTACCCAACATTTTGATTCTGGTTTGACTTCTGTTTTACTATCTTTGTGTTTTTTGTTATCAACAACCTTTTCATGGATAAAAGTCTTTCGTTTCTTCTGAGTTTATCTGTTGCTCCAAGTTAGTCTTTATCTGAAGGTATAATCTTGTGTTAGATCATAACTACTTCTAATTATACCACTCTGATTTGTCAAATGATTTTATTTCCAGATGAAATAGAGGTGCCTGTACTATATAAATTCACAAACAGAAGATGCTTTTTTCTTGCGTATGCTCTCAATTATGAAAAAAAAAAAAGGTAAGAAAAAACAGAAAAGTATTAGACATTGCTGTGTCATGACACAGAACAATGGTATTCAAATTTTACTAAAGTTCTCCGACAATTTTTACATGGTACACTTAAAATAACACAAAGGATGCAATCCTAGAGCTCACCACAGACCTGAGCCATATGCACAGGTACCACTCACCCTTGAATTTGCTGGGATAACTGCAAACTTCCTCCCCATCTCTTCAGGCACAAAACTGTTCTAGAAGAGCTGTTCTTTTATTGTTCCAGCATAGTACTTGCTTCAGTATGCCCCGATAAAGAACAGATACCTCAATAAAAGGTATTTATTTATAGAGGTGTTTATTTATTTATAGTAACTAAGGACTGGCACCAAAGCTGGTGAGAATGGGATTCTTTTCGGGTAATGTTAGCAGATTGAAAGCTAAGCTTCTATAACCTAAGTAATTTTTCTTTCTGTCATGTTGAGTCACACACCCAGGCTGCAACTCTTCTATGTCGGGCTGCAGTTGCCAAAGACATGAAAATCACTGCAAGGCTGCAGTGCCACTAACAGTGGCAGCCCCCAACCCTCTCCCGGTCTGGGTGGTATTCTCACCACTTGTCCTGTACCAGCACTTTTCACTATGCATCCTCAGTGCAGCCACAAAACACCTACACAAAATGAGCCTGGGAATTCGTTAATCTAGTACACATCAAAGATCCTTAGCTCAGCAGAGGTGGGGGTTTCATGGTACACTGCAATCTCTCCCTCCCTGTTTTATTCCTTTCCTCCCTCATTAAACCAGCAAAGATAACTGTTTATCTCTCTGCACTGTATGATCTACCTGTCCAGCTTCTCTTAAACTATTTAACTAATTTAACTAATTTACCTAATTAGAATGAAACCAGAGGAATTGCTTTTAAGTTGTTCTTGCTTGAAATTTGATAATAAAAAGAAAAGTACATTTTTGCCTGAAAAAAACAGGTTCATTTTTCCTGTGTACATCAGCCATGAACAAAAAATACTATCTTTAACTGTCTCTTAGGACCTTAAATTTTGCCAAAACCAAATAACTCTACTAATTCTTTTCTTGCAATGCTTTTGATCACAGGCCTAATTCTTCCTCCCTTACAGCT